AGCTAAGTGGAGCAGCTCTCAGTTATCCTACATATGACAGGAAGTTGTATATACTTGTTCAAGCCTTGGAAACATGGCAACACTACCTATGGCTAAAGGAGTTCGTGATTCACACTGACCGTTAATCTTTGAAGCACTTGTGAGGTCAATGTAAGCTAAACAAGAGGCATGTAAGGAAAGGTATGTGCTTTTAATTTCTTTGAGTACTAAACTGCTTAGATATTAATATGTTAAGGACATCTATGCTAATAATCCAAAGTTTTCCATTATATACGAACCATGTAATAAATGGGTTGTAGATTGGTTCTTTAGGCATGATGAATATTTATTTCGAAAAAATAAATTATGTGTTCCCAAATGTTCAATAAGAGAGTTACTAGTAAGGGAAGCATATAGTGAGAGTCTAATGGGACATTTAGGGGTTCACAAGACCTTAGAGACGCTAAGCAAACATTTTTATTGGCTTACGATGAAAATTGATGTTGATCAGATTTGTTGTAGATGTATCACTTGCAAAAAGGCTAAGTTTAAGGTTTTACCTCCAGGTTTGTATACACCATTACCTGTTCCTAGTAAACATTAGGTTGACATATCTATGGATTTTGTATTGAGTTTATCTAGGACTAAGAAATGACGAGATTCAATATTTGTGGTGATAGATAGGTTTAGTAAGATGACACATTTTTTTCCATGTCATAAATCAACGATGCCGCTAACATTGCGGATTTATTCTTTGAGAAAGTAGTGTGATTACATGGGGTTCCTAGAACCATATTATCGGATAAGGATGTTAAATTCCTTAGCCACTTTTGGAGGGCTCTGTGGAATAAGTTAGGTACAAAGTTATGATTTTTCTACAACTTGTCATCAATAAACTGATGGACAAATCAAGGTAGTGAATAGGATCATGATACAATTCTTACGTATTATAGTTAATAAAAATTTGAAGAGTTAGGAAGAGTGCTTACCATTTATTGAATTTGTATACAATAGGGCGACGTATTCTACTACTTTGTTTTCACCTTTTGGAATTGTGTATATTTTAGTCCATTAACACTTTTGAATTTAATTCCTTTAACTGTTAGTGAACGAAGTAGTTTAGATGGAAAGAAGAAGGTTGAATTAGTGAAATCACTTCATAAGAAAGTAAGAATGCAAATTGAAAAGAAAAATAAACATTATTCATCGCAAGCAAACAAAGGCCTAAAGAGCATTACATTTGAACCTAATCATTGGGTTTTGGTTGGACGAAACTTCGAATTTGGCCAGTAAATGAACAAGTTTCATGTTGGGCTCGAGAGTTGAAGCACGATAGATCAACTTGATTCGAGAAAAGGACAGAGAGGAAGTACCATTTACTATGCAGCCACATAGCTAAGCTAACCATGCGACTGCAAGTGATAAGGCAGTAAACCCAGGTGGAAAATAAAGGACTTCCATGCAACCACATGCAATAGAGCTATGCGGTCGTAGAGTTCAATCGTTGTGCGCATTTTTCCAAATTTCGTGAAATATTGTAATTCTAGTAAAGTTCTATTTTTATGGTAACTTTATATTCTTTAAACTGGGGATTTATGTGTTTTCTATATGTAAGACTCATTATTCTAAATTGTATACAACTTTCATTCATATCAATTGAGAGATTGATTTTGTGAGTATAATTTGCTTTCAATTTTTTGTTCTTCATAATTTTGAACTTATCAAGAATTATTTTTTTTGTAGTGTTCAAATAATTCGGGTGAGATTCGTGAGTGTTGTGATAAAGGGATCAACATATTATCGACGATTGTGTTGGTTACTTGGTTCAATATTTCTGAATTAAACTCAAAATTTTGATTTATTGGCTTTCTTGAATTCGATTCAATCTCTTGTGGGTTTTGTAACTACTATTGTTACGTGGGTTCGTATCACTTTTTTTTTGCATCTAGCACCAAATGTTGTTAAGGATATCTGTGTCATCTTATATTATACATTAATTTTAATTCTTAATCAATTGTCATTACAACTAATTATTATTATTTGAAATAAACTTTAATCATGTAATTGAATATCTGTAATATTGGGATTTAAAATGTAATACGTTGTTTTTCAATAGCATGATTTAATATTTTTTAATTGTGATATTTTTATTAATTGTACTACATTTTTAAAATTTATTAATGAATTTAATATTTTCGTCAACGAAGCACAATTATTTATATTGTAGTAAATTAAATAAATAAATAAATGAAATTTCAGATATGTATAAATTGTTAAGGAAAAAATGGAGAAAATGATTAAAAACTGTTTATTTGTTGTAACTATTGGTACAATGGGTTGGAGTTGAATTTTAGTTTGATGTAAGATTTTATACAAAACTTACCTTAAATTTTGGTTAAGAGTTGGAAATAGCCTAATGTCCACTGTCAATGGAGTTTCAGGATTGGACTTTGCTTTGGTGATAGAAACTCTATGATCGAAGCATTGACCTCCTCTCACAATTGCTATGGGTTCCGCTGTGAATTAAAAAATGCCGACCCTGAAGTTGTGTGTATTCTGTCAAGCCTTATATTGCTGTAACAAGGTCCTTCAGGGTTAGCTCACTCTTTCGATCATTTGTCTGTACCAATTACATAGCACGTGAGTCGGCACAATGAATTGACGATATATTCCCCCTTTGAATTGATTCTTGTGAAAATAATTGAGCGACTTCCTTTTCACCTTGTACAATTGATTCCCTACTGTTTTTGCAGATGTAACTTTTCTTTCTTCATCTTTTTGCAATCTTAACAGTACCTTATGATTAGTCATTATAAGACCACGTTGGGCGTCAAATCTTATAATAATCACAATTATAAGTAATGTTATCATCTTATTACACCATTTAAAAATTCTGTGTACAGAAATTTTTTCACAAAATGGTGACAGAAGTCTCACTGTCCCCATGTTTGATATAATATTTCCAAAAAATCAACCATCCACTCTCACCATGTGTCTTTTCTATATCTCTTATGTACATCCATGTTCTGTATATGTAGTGGAGCTGTACACCATTTGTACAAAGCCGCTTCGGAAAAAAGAAAAGAAAACCCAAAATATTATTTAGATATTCCCTATAAAAAACAAACACAAAGAAAAAATAAAAGAATAAATGTGATCTATATTGTCATAAATTATTATTTTCAATAACAATTTTTAATACGTGATTCGTAAGGCCTGAACTAGTATTTAAAGATGGTCGATCATTTGAGATGAATAAGCAGTTTGATCTAAATTTAATATTATTATAAAAATCATCATCTTCTTGATATATCAAAAGTTAAATCTCAAGTAATCTGAATATCGAAAACTATAATTCATGTACAAGAGTTTCGATATTGCACTTAATAAAGTATATATATTGAGACTTACGTGATATTGTGAGAGAGACAAGGCAAGATGGTTGACGGGTGGAGTGGGGAATCATTGGTTTTGTTGATTAATGTGGAAGTGAAGAGCCCAATGCTTTATTTTTATCAAGAAAAATAAATGGAGAATCAAAACTCCCTTCCAAGGTAAGTCACAAAATAAAATTACAATGTAAAAATGCTGCTAAGAGTTAGTGGAAGTGTGTTGGGTAAATAAAAAAATTGAGCGAATCAAAGTCTTGGTCTTCTACGAATTCCACAAAGGCCAGTGTTTGTGCGAATATTTGTACTCCATCGATTTTAGCCCTTTAGTATCTTATTTTTAGTTATTTGTGCTTCTCTAGTTAAAAATAAAGAATAAGGCCAATCAAATAGGTTAAAAAATAGGAATTTAGAGACAAATTGATTTGGCAGAGAGTGGCTGGCCTTTTTTTTTTTTTCAAAATTTTCAAAGTGTCCGGCCGTGCTTCGACACGTGTCTACTTTTTTTTTCCTTTTCTTTTAAACCTTGTTTTTGAGCATAGCATTGTTGAAAAATAAAATCAATTTGCATCAAAAGTTTCATTTGTTGTCAGTTAAAAATAATATCTCGAGTTCATAGATGTTAAATATTCTTTTTATATTTTGTAATAGCGCAGTGGAGTTAGACCTTCAAATTCAAAACTTTTGTCCATTCCAAAAGAATAATATTGAAATTTCACTATTACCTTAAACCTCTTTAAAAGGATTGAATTGCTGGCACAAAACTTTGTGAAAAGAAAGAAATTCACTCTTTAAAAAAAAAAAACAAAAAAATATCTATGATCAGGTTTTCATCCTTAACTTTGGTGGTAAAGTTAGTTGAATAAATTTTACATTTTGGTTTGTTGTCCTCAATGATTACAAATGTAACATCTGGTGAATCAACACCGCTGATAGTTTTTGAGTGCTTTTGGTTTACCCCTGAATTATAATTAGCTTTTGAAACAGTGACTGAAAAATACAAAACTTTATGGAAAGTGAAAAGCAGTTAGTAATGATGATCAGAAAAGTTTGAATAGTAAAAATCTTGTGCATTTACCCCTCAATTTTTAAAAGTGATGTCCTGAATTCTATTTTCATTTAAATTGATGAATTTCAGTTTTAACCCTTCAATTAGACATTCTTATAATTGTAGATGACTCACAGTTAAAGGTTAAAGTTCTCAAGCCACGTAACATTATCTCCAATTAGCTAAAAGCCATGTGCAAAATTAACGTCTAAATTGACAATTTTCGTTATTTTGGAATTCAAATTTACATATTTAGAACATCAATCACACGGGTGCCATGCTTGCTAAAGATCGAGGATCTCCAGGTAAATTTACCCTTGGTTTTAACCCATTGGATTCCTCTAGAAAGGGATTGGGTAGATGTGAAGAGTAAGTTGCATTAAATGATCCCAAGCAAATGAAAATCTATAGAATGTCAGGTATTGGCAGAATTGGGTAATGGCTGACATGTTAATAAAAAATATAACAGTAAATAGTAATGCCTAAGCAGATAAGACACGAGATAGAAGCCAAAAGACAATGGCTTTAGCCTATGCCCAACTACCCCTTTTCACTTAGATGTAACCTCCCATTTCAAGTCCATGTGAAGGAAAATGACACAAATCTAATTATAAGTGTGACAATATTATGTTATTTAAAAGTAGAGTACCGAAATTGATATTAAAACTGTACAGGTACCATAAAAGAAAATAAAAAAAAAATGTAGCAAAATGATTTTCCTAGTGGGAAATAATTAATTTTCCAAAACTTGTACAAAATCTTGGAATTTCACAAGAATCCGATTCCCTCCCGGCATATTAGCATCTGATTAGTCCTTTCATAGAGATTTTGAGTCCAAACTATTCGCAAAACATCATTATCAGCAGCTTAATGCTTCGTATTTCACTGCCATTGGACGACTAAATCCGGCCTGAGAAAGCAAAGTGCCGACCACAGAAAGGTCCCTGCAGAAAACTCCTTGAAACACCGATGTAATGGCTGCATTGTTCTCAGTCCGATGATTACCATCTAAAATGGCCTCTGGAATTGATTCTATTCTGGTGGAGGATTGTTCTTGAGCCTGTTGAACTTGCATTGCAGCCTTCGCCTCGTCTTCCAAAATCGTCCCCATTACACTGGTATAACCCTTTTGAATCAATCTATATAAAAGCAAGGCAGACATTTTTGCTCGATCCCTAATTGAATCTATATCCCCATCATCTGCAAATTCACACCTATCAATGAAACTCGAAGATTTATCAGGCTTGTGTCTAAGTGTCAACAGCAAATGGGCTCTTCCGAGTTCTGATCTTGAACAACCTCGTCTTAATCCAATCAAAGCATAATAGTCTACATTCCCAGTTTCACCAGCAGCAACCCTTTGCTTCAATTGTTGGATTTTTGCAGCCAATGAACAGAGTTTTCCAGGAATTTCCCGGTACTGAATGTTCTGGCGCTTCCACACTGGTCCGGGCAATTTTCGATCGCGTAGAATTGAGTTGTACAAGAGTTTCAAATGCTCTAGATCGTGGAGACTATCAGGTAAACATCTTATGGTTTCAAATAAGGCAGCTCTCACAGTAAGAGCACGAATGCAAGAAGGGTTCAATGCTAAGGTTCTATTGCAATCCGCAATTGCATCTGATATTCTGCCTGCTGATTGATAAGCTGTGGCACGGTGCACGAAGCACTCGGCCAAGAATCCCTGCGGGGCTCCACGACGACCATCGACAATTTTTGAAAAATGTCTAATGGCTTCAGAATAAAGCCCGGCATCCAGGGCGGCCATTGCGGCGGTCTTACGGCGGATTAGGAGCTTGATGTGGCTGAGAAGCTGGGAAATGCTCTCAGACTCTGCCTTTGGAGGTGTTGAGGGTTGTAGATTATTGATTGATGCTTCGCTGGAGAGTGGAGATCTGTTAAAGGAAAAGCTGTCGTCCGACCAGCAAATACTTTCCCGGCGGAATGCTGCTGTGGCGATGCGTTTTCCGGTCTGAAGCAGCACCATTGCGTCTTCCATTAATCCCAGGTGGCAACAAGCTTGACCCAAAACCAAGTACCTGTACGGTAAAATTTAGATAACGGACTGAGTAATTCCAAATGTATTAATAAATTTGGTTTACCGAAAATTTTAACCTGATTAAATTTGGTTTATCGAAAATTTTACAAATCTGCCAGTTGTTTCGCGTAATCTACAAGTAAACCAGCAAAAATTAAATTACCTCCATTGGCCTTCTTTGTTGACGTTTTTACAGAGTCCCGTCGTAACTTTCTTCTTCAAATCCGAGACAGAAAAGCACTTAAACGCCGGTTCATTTTGACCCAGCGAGTCACCATTGCCGGAGAGAAGTTTCAATCGTTCTCTCGACAACTGAGTTGACGAACTATCCGACGACCCAGTTAACGATTCCTCATCAGAGCTCATTTTCATTCTAGGAATATAATCCTGCAACATATCAGCCACCTCTTTGAACCGCCGCAGAGAAAGCAAACACCTTGCTTTGAGCTCCAACGCCAATTCCATACGCGGCGAAATAGCCAACGCTGCTTCAAGTAGGCGTAAAGCCGCCACCGTCTCTCTTTGTTCCTCCGTCGCAATCAGCATTTTAGCATCCCTCACATACCTCTCCACCATCTGCATTACATTTTCAATATTATTCCATATACATATGAATACGAGCTATTTACTTTAACGGGTTAGAAAAGTTTGAAAGAAAAAAACCTTTTTGTTGGTGAGCCACCAGTGCTTCTTCTCTCCACCAGTGAGAGACGTCGGTGAAGCAGCCATGGCAAGTAGGCAAGAAGATTCAACCATTAACGAGATCTCTTGCTGCCTCTTTCTGCGTTTTGTATTATTGTACGCTGATATTGAAACATCTCAATTTCCTCCTCATAGATAGAGGAGAAGAGATTTATAAATCTACAAAAAATAGAAAAATTGCAGGAGAAGGAGAGGGAGAGAGAGAGAGGAGTAAAGAGGAGATATGAGAAGGAAGGGAATCATAGCAGCTATGTAAAAATTAGGTTGACAAATTTGATTTAACGTTGATAACATTTAGATCAATTATTTAAAAAATAATTTTTGAAATCAATGGTCGAAATTTGCCATCATTTTATTTGTAAACTAACTTTATAGAAATAGCTTAATTCGAAGGAAGAAGGGGATTAAAAACAACAAATGCCAGCTTTGACCTTAGATAAGTGAAGGAGAGAACTTCCACGCTACTGCTACATCGCTGGCACCAAATCCTCTAGAGTATAGAGAGGTCCAAAGGCTAGTCTACGGTCTAGATGGTTAACATAATTAAAATTAATATAAATTGTTTTCGAAATTCTCCGTGCATTTTTTTGAAGTTTTTCGGTGATTTGATATATTCTCTCTAAGAAAACAATTTTTAGTTGTTTGATATATAGACTAAAATCAAATTAAAGTTAATAATTAATTTTAATGGTAAATTTTATAAAATTCACTACTTTTCAATTATATTTTTTTTCTTTTCTTTCTATCAAAATCTACTTAAAAATGTGAGCCTACTAACATATTACTAAAAATTAATGTTAAGCTGCCTACAAGCATAAATATTCACTTATCTAACCAAATAGTATGCACAACAGAATAGATTTATTAGTTGGATGTCTTTACTACTTAGGTAGGAATTGAATAAATGCTGTAGAGTCATAAAAGAGAATGGGGACAATGGAGACTACGCAGTCTCATCCGGAGATTGAAATATGGGGGCTAGTTTGGTAATTCGTGATAATTATGGTGTGATCAAATTGCTCTTTATAATGTGAGAATTGGTACTTCTCGAAAGTCTGGACTTTACGAAATAATTGACCTAGCATCGTGGTGGCATTAATTTATCCATCACAAATAACATTCAAAAGATTATTCGAAGAATTCTGCTACTTGTAATCATCTCGTACAAGTTCCAGAAACAGTAGTGGCAGCACTGCATTGGCTATCAACACTGCACTTTTTTAGGTGAATCACTATGTACAAATAGACTTGCTGTAATTCAAATCTATTATTGGAATTAACAAATTTGAACAAATATGGCTGGACATTATCTTGAAAAATAGTGCATTCACAATGCTATGTCGAATAGATGAATAATGATATTTGACATAAGTGAATTTCGACCATAGTATTGGTGATAGTGGAGTCACACTCTGCAAATAGTGATAGATAACATTATGGTGAAACGTTGGCTCAATTACCGTTTAACTCACTTAGAATAATTTAATTATTAATCTAAATGTCATAAGGAAAATGTTTCTTGTACATAATTATTTACATAATGTATTATATAATGATGATGCGTCAAAACGTAGGTAGGGAAGTTATCAATTGATGAGAATTGATCCAATTAAATTTTGTCACATCATCTGTTGATAAATCATTGTGTAAATTGTTATGTACATATAATACAACCCTTGTCATAATATCGTGGTGACATTGATAAATTCCAATTCACAATATTTCAAATCTATTTACTTCCAAACGTATATAAGCAATTGCAACCATTATATAATCACGACACTATTTATTATTGTTATGAACTCTTTGGTAGCTTGATTCTTGTCCCCAATAGCTTGAGGTATATATATATATATATATATATATATAAGGATGAAGAATTTTGTTTGTATAATTAGAGTCTGTTTGAGAGTGATTTTTTCTCTTAAAAATTTGATTTTTTGACTGTTATTTCACTATTTCGGTCGTTATATTTGACTTCTTCTCTCACAGGTAGACCCCACTTTTTTTCTAAAGGTCAAAAAATCAATTCTCAAAATCACTCTCAGACTCTTTAATGAATTTGACAAGGTGCAATTAGTAATGGATAAAGCCATAAAGGTAATTTGTTAATTAAATGGTCATTTATTACTTACGAGAGGGCCATTATTATTATTATTTTTTAATCCTCCGACTCGTTTAATTCGANAAGTTTCAATCGTTCTCTCGACAACTGAGTTGACGAACTATCCGACGACCCAGTTAACGATTCCTCATCAGAGCTCATTTTCAGGCTAGGAATATAATCCTGCAACATATCAGCCACCTCTTTGAACCGCCGCAAAGAAAGCAAACACCTTGCTTTGAGCTCCAACGCCAATTCCATACGCGGCGAAATAGCCAACGCTGCTTCAAGTAGGCGTAAAGCCGCCACCGTCTCTCTTTGTTCCTCCGTCGCAATCAGCATTTTAGCATCCCTCACATACCTCTCCACCATCTGCATTACATTTTCAATATTATTCCATATACATATGAATACAAGCTATTTACTTTAACGGGTTAGAAAAGTTTGAAAGAAAAAAACCTTTTTGTTGGTGAGCCACCAGTGCTTCTTCTCTCCACCAGTGAGAGACGTCGGTGAAGCAGCCATGGAAAGTAGGCAAGAAGATTCAACCATTAACGAGATCTCTTGCTGCCTCTTTCTGCGTTTTGTATTATTGTATACGGATATTGAAACATCTCAATTCCCTCCTCATAGATAGAGGAGAAGAGGTTTATAAATCTACAAAAAATATAAAAATTGCAGGAGAGGGAGAGGGAGAGAGAGAGAGGAGTAAAGAGGAGATATGAGAAGGAAGGGAATCATAGCAGCTATCTAAAAATTAGGTTGACAAATTTGATTTAACGTTGATAACATTTAGATCAATTATTTAAAAAATAATTTTTGAAATCAATGGTCGAAATTTGCCATCATTTTATTTGTAAATTAACTTTATAGAAATAGCTTAATTCGAAGGAAGAAGTGGATTAAAAACAACAAATGCCAGCTTTGACCTTAGATAAGTGAAGGAGAGAACTTCCACGCTACTGCTACATCGCTGGCACCAAATCCTCTAGAGTATAGAGAGGTCCAAAGGCTAGTCTGCGGTCTAGATGGTTAATATAATTAAAATTAATATAAATTGTTTTTGAAATTCTCCGTGCATTTTTTTGAAGTTTTTTCGGTGATTTGATATATTCTCTCTAAGAAAACAATTTTTAGTTGTTTGATATATAGACTAAAATCAAATTAAAGTTAATAATTAATTTTAATGGTAAATTTTATAAAATTCACTACTTTTCAATTATATATTTTTTTTCTTTTCTTTCTATCAAAATCTACTTAAAAATGTGAACCTACTAACATATTACTAAAAATTAATGTTAAGCTGCCTACAAGCATAAATATTCACTTATCTAACCAAATAGTATGCACAACAGAATAGATTTATTAGTTGGATGTCTTTACTACTTAGGTAGGAATTGAATAAATGCTGTAGAGTCATAAAAGAGAATGGGGACAATGGAGACTACGCAGTCTCATCCGGAGATTGAAATATGGGGGCTAGTTTGGTAATTCGTGATAATTATGGTGTGATCAAATTGCTCTTTATAATGTGAGAATTGGTACTTCTCGAAAGTCTGGACTTTACGAAATAATTGACCTAGCATCGTGGTGGCATTAATTTATCCATCACAAATAGCATTCAAAAGATTATTCGAAGAATTCTGCTACTTGTAATCATCTCGTACAAGTTCCAGAAACAGTATTGACAGCACTGCATTGGCTATCAACACTGCACTTTTTTTGGTGAATCACTATGTACAAATAGACTTACTGTAATTCAAATCTATTATTGGAATTAACAAATTTGAACAAATATGGCTGGACATTATCTTGAAAAATAGTGCATTCACAATGCTATGTCGAATAGATGAATAATGATATTTGACATAAGTGAATTTCGACCATAGTATTGGTGATAGTGGAGTCACACTCTGCAAATAGTGATAGATAACATTATGGTGAAACGTTGGCTCAATTACCGTTTAACTCACTTAGAATAATTTAATTATTAATCTAAATGTCATAAGGAAAATGTTTCTTGTACATAATTATTTACATAATGTATTATATAATGATGATGCGTCAAAACGTAGGTAGGGAAGTTATCAATTGATGAGAATTGATCCAATTAAATTTTGTCACATCATCTGTTGATAAATCATTGTGTAAATTGTTATGTACATATAATACAACCCTTGTCATAATATCGTGGTGACATTGATAAATTCCAATTCACAATATTTCAAATCTATTTACTTCCAAACGTATATAAGCAATTGCAACCATTATATAATCACGACACTATTTATTATTGTTATGAACTCTTTGGTAGCTTGATTCTTGTCCCCAATAGCTTGAGGTATATATATATATATAAGGATGAAGAATTTTGTTTGTATAATTAGAGTCTGTTTGAGAGTGATTTTTTCTCTTAAAAAATTGATTTTTTGACTGTTATTTCACTATTTCGGTCGTTATATTTGACTTCTTCTCTCACAGGTAGACCCCATTTTTCTTCTAAAGGTCAAAAAATCAATTCTCAAAATCACTCTCAGACTCTTTAATGAATTTGACAAGGTGCAATTAGTAATGGATAAAGCCATAAAGGTGGTTTGTTAATTAAATGGTCATTTATTACTTACGAGAGGGCCATTATTATTATTATTTTTTAATCCTCCGACTCGTTTAATTCGAGGGTTTAAATAGTAAAGAAGTTTTTTTTTTTTTTTTTACACTGTTGGTTCTCGACTGATTGTTCAAACCGCAACTTAATCCCAATTTTTAAAAAGGAACAATTAGTCATTAACGCTCTAAACCATCTCACACGTCAAAGTTTATAAAGCTACATCTTTAGAAATTTCGAGTTATTCATCTTTCCTTGAGGTCCAAGATGTGACTATTTAATTAAGATTTGAACTTTTTCTTGATTGTGCAACTATAAAGAATTATTGAGAACAAACTTGTCCGTTTCGAAAATTAAGGACTAAAACGTTACTCGAACAATACGGTCTAGACCAACAATGTAATTTTTCTTAGGATTGAGCAAAACTCCTGAATTGAATCGAGCGGTTCTTTTTAAGTTAAATACCCGAACGGGTATTTGAATCGAGAGTTGAAGGGTTCGATTCGATTATCCCTAATCCGAATAAGAACCGAATCTCCTTAATTTTTTTTACTTTATTAATTTTAAACAAGTCAAATTATTTTATTA